ACAATCCAATACTAATAATAATAACAGTAATGGAGACCAAATTAATACTAAAACTGTTATAGTTGAGGGAATTGATTAAAGTAGACAAAAAAGTAGATACAAGGAAGTAAGAATCATCATCATAAAAATGCGATTTGACTCCATTTAATTTATAAATTCAATGTGGGTGTTTTCAAGACTATTGAGATTACTCAATAACCCAATAACAATCATTTTGAAATTTTGGGGCTTTCTCAGTTTCCACCCATACTGAATGTTGGCACCATATGAAAGCATATACAGGCGGGTTAGAAATGAGTTTATATAAACTTTATTTGCTAGAATATCACAAGGAATCACCACTTCGGCGTTATTCAGATACACCCTGTATAGTCGTAAAAGTATCATAAAACTGTTGATCACAATCACAAATTGATTAGATGAAACTTGAAAGTAATTAATTATTCCCAGCAGTCCAGCACTGCATCAGCAACACATTTTCGATTTGTTCCGACGAATTTCGAAGTCTCAAGTTACGATTCGGTTTTCAGAAAAACAGACGTTTGGTTTAGCAGGAAAACATTTTCCTGGAGTGAGATGAACCTAACCAGATGGCGATCAATAACATGCACAAAGTGTTTATAACGGAAACGGTCACATCTCGCGCTCCATCTTACTGAAAAGTAATTTCACGGAAAAACGAGTAGCTGGCTGCTATAATTATAACACCTTCTGTATAACAACATTCAAAATGGTTTGTGATACGTGGTGATACGATTCCTATCATCGGCACAATTCAATTGGGTATTATTAACAGTAGTTTTTTTAGAACAAGATTATATTCACCAAGTGTCCATGTAGAGTCGAACAAAACCTTTACAAAAACTCGTTTGTTAATGAAACAGTAAAGATTTCGAATTCTTTGAGAAAGTGAGTATTCCCAAGAACTAATAACTTCTATCAAAAGTTAGACAGAAACACATCTTTTACCTACAAGCTACCACACAGCATAAAAAAATTAACATTTCTAGGACAGTATTGAATTCATATGATTCTTAAAATGAACTAAGGAACCATATGCCTTATTTTTAGCCATCAATAGAATAGCACCCTGTATGCCTCCTTTTCTTATCGTCCCTATAGGTATACAAGCGGTGTTCTCCTACTTTATAGGAATTTCATTTCGTGCGCCCCAAGAGATAAGAAAGAAAATCCTTTTTTTTACATAAACAATTTTTGGCCAAACAACTCATTTTGGTGAGATATATACCCTGCCCAATGAAAAACCTCACTTTCAAATTGACCCTGTATAATAGTGCTGTTTTTCAAGTGCCAAGTTCAGAACAGATGTTGTTAGGTATTTTTATAGCACTCAATGTTGGAAACATGTTTTGATGCATACCCACATACCGCCCTGTATCTTTTTCCACATCAGCAATATTTTATCAAGGCATATTTGGTTCTATCGCCATATTTTAGTCCAAACAATCCTCCCTTAGCCTATATGTCCCAATGGTTACGACTCACCCTGTATATGGAGAGAACTATGAAGGAAAATGAAACTCCGTATATTGAGTGTTCAAGTAGGTATATTCATTTTCTTATCACTTCAAATAAATAGTATCATACATACGTGTGTTCATGGCATGGCGTCTTTATTATCGATAACTTTACATCTACATATTTTATACAAATCATATGTACATAGCACACAACCATATCCATAATATATTATGTTCGACTTAAATTTACAATTAAATGCAATAAGTTGTTTTTTTTAACGAAAAAATAGCTATAGGAACACAGACAGGAAAACGTACATTCATTCAAACTATTTACGATTTAAGCTAAACATTATTCAATCTATTATCACAAAAAGTATAATCAATGCAGAATCATTTACCTACTGATATCGTACCCACCCTGTTCACTTTTCACGAATACATACTCTTGTATCTAAATATGATAAAAAATTGGATAAGTGAAAAGAGATTTATGACATATACTTGATTACTCTAGATTCTTAGGGATTTTTTCTCACCCTTTCTATGAAAAAACATGAATGTTATTCCAATATACAGTGTTACCCCTACAGTTTTCAATCGATAAAGTTTTTTTGATTCAGGAAAAAGAGTATGAAAAGGTTTACACAAATTTGGAAAATATAACTCCAAATTTCAGAAAAAAAATTATTGACAATTTTTCATGAAGATTCGACCCCACTTCACTGGATTCAGCATGATTCGATTAGGTTAATCGCAAAATGTCCTCAAAAATATTCGATTGGCAACAAAGTAATAACATACCATTTTTATTAATATTTCAGACAAATCCTGAGAAGTGGCAACATTGTCATCACAAATGTAGGAAAGCGGAAAGCATTGTGGTTTCTGGTAGATGCTCGTTTTCATAACACAAACTCGAGAATATATTTGTGTTATGAATTCAAATGTCTAGCTGAAAACTCAATAAGTTCCAACATTTTCTGTTGACACTGTTGCCGCTTTTCAGATTTTTTCTGGAATATTCATGAAAGGTATATAACGAAAATTCATGTGTTTTAACTTTGTTGCCAATCAGAATGTTTCAATGAAATTTTGCAATCACAGTAATTGAAGGATGCTGATCCAGTAGGGGGGTCGAATTTTCGTGAAAAAGAAGACATACCTACCTGGTACCTATGGCTGGAAATTGGAATTTTACTTTGCCAATTTGAGTAAATGTAGATTCTTTGAAACTCTTTCTGCCGAAACAAAAAAAATCAATCGTTTGGAAACTGTAGATTTTATGAAGCTGCTCCGGTGTCAATTAGTTCATATTGTACACTGAGATAATAATAATATTTTTGTTTATAGACAAGGAGAGAAAATTCCAAATAATTCACAGCAACGGATATTCCACTTCCCCGATTAACCCATCATTTTTTATTCAAGTTCGAATAATGATCAAATTCAAAAGGTATACGATTGATGAAAGCGATACAAGAGTGTCCCCAAGAACAGTGAAACGATATTCTGCAAAAATAACGGTCATCATCCCAGGATGATTGATAAGACGTTCACAATTAGAATTCCAATCGATAGTACTATTTAGTATTTACAGTATTTACAATAAAGTCCATGGTTCGAACTAATTCTGTTCTGATAAATGCGATGACGTTGGCAGAAGCTACAATACAGAGTATCGAGAGGAGTCAAAAAAACTATTTTTATTGTTTCTTCTTGGTTCAATACTACCTATCCCACAATATCTACTATCTTCACTATACAAATTCTCTAGTCAGGCAATTGAGAAAATTCTCATATTATACCACAAAGCATTTTGTTCGAAAGATAAAGAATCCAATAGAGAACACCCTTACATCATTAATTTATTTATAATGAATTATGGTATTTTCATGCACTGTTCTATAACGTTTTATAATCGTGGATCTTCAGGACATATCAAAGACATATCTGCTAGTTCATATACCTATACCCCCAAGTAGAATTCGTAGAGGATCTACATGGCATGGAAGTACATGAGTGCCTTTTTTTCACTATCTTCAATTATCTTTCAACATGATTGCATAAATTATATACACAGTGCCGTCAGTATATAAGGTTTCACGAAACTGATTCCACGGTATCTGATGAATTTTTAGCAAGAATTTTTGTTAATTCTGAAACAGCAAATAGTCACTGTGTTAGTATTTGCCACTATAGTGAATTCTTATCAAAGTCAAGAAAAGAAGATATGATGAAAATTGGAAGAATTTTCCACGAATACTCATCGAGATATCATGAATATACTAAAACCACCCTGATGCAGTTCAATGCCCTGTTCCTAAACAAATTCTACTCAGGGAGTGTATGAACAAGTAAGTCTTTGATGCATCTGAAAGGTGATTCGTCAACTTCACTGTTTCGAAACAAAAAAAATTCCGTGTATGAGGAGTTCACGAGTTCTGGCTTCACACCCTGAGATGTCCTATAAACATATCGAGGAATCGTGTCGGAGGAGTGTTTTGAAAGAGATACCTATTGTACGTGAACTTTTCAAGTTCATCAATTAAGTTATTTGTTGGTTTAAATATGACTGTAAACAGTTAGATGCTTTTTTTTCAAAGACATTTGTGTAGCTAGAGTTTTCTCGGTATAAACATCTATAATCCAGTCATCCCCCTTTTCTCGACAACGTCCTCGGAATCTCATCTCGATTACCGCAAACCGCCATCAGTGTCTCCAGCCCCGTCACCTAAAACGACCATTGTCAAGATCGCTCATTTAACTGGAATCCGTTTATCGGTATGACCCATAAGTCATTGCACCGCCAAAGGGTTGCGGTCGGTTGCAAGCAATTTGATGGCGATTCGAAAGTCACCGGCGTCTTTTAGTCTACTAGACTCCAGCCCCGTCATCTTAAACCACCAACGTCTCCAACTCCGTCATCTCAAACCGTCAATGTCTCCAGCTCTATCATCTTAAACCGTCATCGGTGCCACTGTCTCCAATATCGTCATCTTAATCTGCCACTGTCTCCAACCATGTCATCATAAACAGTCACAGTGTCTCCAACCCCGTGATCTTAAAGCGTCAGTGTCTCTAACCTCGTCATCTTAAACTGCCAGTGTCTCCAGCCCCGCCATCCTAAACAGCCAGTGTCTCCAGCAAGTCATCCTAAACAGTCACAGTGTCTCCAGCCTCGTCATCTTAAAGCGTCAGTGTCTCCAACCTCGTCATCTTAAACTGTCAGTGTCTCCAGCCAAGTTATCCTTAACAGTCACAGTGTCTCCAACCTCGTCATCTTAAACTGCCAGTGTCTCCAGCCCCATCATCCTATAAACAGTCACAGTGTCTCCAGCCTCGTCATCTTAAACTGCCAGAGTCTCCAGCCTCGTCATCCTGAACAGTCACAGTGTCTCCAGCCACTTCATCCTGAACAGTCACAGTGTCTCCATCCCCGTCATCTTTAACCGCCACAGTGTCTCTAATCCCGTCATCTAAAACCGTAGTATCTCGAACTCCGTCACACGGCACCTCTCAGTACTTCTGCCCGACGCAGTCCGGCTGATAGTACCCGACTGTGGGGCGGTACCCGGGCGGGCTGGGCGAGACGGCCGCGTGCCGGAACCCGCCCACGCCCAGCTGGCAGCTGCTGGGCGGGGGTGCGCCCACCCCGCCTTGGGGTTCGAACAGCAGGTCACGGTACCCGGTGGCGGTGGTGGCCGATTCGGGGGAGGTCTCGGGGCTGTACCAGGGGCTGTAGCGGGGGGCAGCGACCGCCTCGTCGCCGATGGGGTACTGGTGGTGCTGGGGGGTAGCCGAGGGGCAGTACGAGTACATTCCTGCAACAAGAATAAGATGGTGAAGGGAATCGTTGTCTTGTGCACGGTACTTGAAGGGTCTGATAATAAATATGAGCTAGAGAGCGAGCCGATCAAACCACGTTTATGAATTTAAAGATATTATTTTGAAAACCACTTACTCATCACAACTCCTAGGCATATACATTGACTGCAATCTCTCATGGGATGAACAAATAAATTTCGTTTGTAAGAAATTGAATAAAAGCTTTTATATACTTGTTACTCTGAAGAATACACTGAAAATTGACTCACTCCTTCAAATATACTACGCATTCGTATATTCAGCCATTTCTTATAATATTATAGCGTGGGGCCAAGCATCTGAGATCACTAGAGTGTTTGTTGCTCAAAAGCGTATACTCCGACTAATATTTGACATAAAAAATCGCAACTCTTGTAGGGATATTTAAAAAAAATCAAATAATAAGTAATAGTAATAATAGTAATAATTTACATTTTCAAATTTCAAACTTCTTTGTTATACTTATACATTCAAAAATAAGCTTCGGATCCTCTAAACAGTGACAACCACTCCCATAACACTAGATGTAAAAACGACATCAAACTAAGTAAACACAAACAAACATTCTTTCTATAAAAAGTCACCGAATAATGCTGTTTGCTGGCTTTTCAAATCTCGTCTTCATGTATTTCAACTTGGATTGGTACTTTTGTATCTCTCTCATTATTTGTAACGACATGTCCCATCTTGTTTTTATACTAGCTTAAGGGGTCCATAAACATTCATTTATTTATTTATTATTTATCAAGAAGTTAGCAAAGTTCATTGGCTGCGAACGAACACTTTTAACTCAGCCTCAAATTTTCTTGGGGTTGATAATCAATTGATGCAATGAAAGATATATATGGAAAAAATCAATGGGCTTGAGTCTTGGCATGAGTGCACAGTTTTTTTACACAATTTATGAATTGACTTTCTGATTAATTGGAATGTACAAATACATGTACATTGTTCAATTCAGATTGTATGTAAACGCAAGATATTTTCATTTATTCATTATATCACTGATTTCTGATGCATGCAGAGGTTTTTTTCTTCTCTGGCAGAAAACTCTGGTGGTATTCTCGGATTTGTTCATAAAACCATTGATTACACTGGTATGGCATAATTTTGTTATCACTCCAAATGAAAATGGTGACAAACAACCAAGAATTTAACAGCGTGATATATGTTGACAACTACCAACCTGTTTTCAATCATAAACAATGGTGACGATATAGATGGTGATAATACTGAACTCTTTCATACAGTGAACGATGCAGAATCCAAAACTGATGTGGATGAAAATAACCTTTACTCATTTCATAAAATACTGCAATTACGGATTGGTTTTTAGATTGAGTTTCTTTCAGGCTTTCACTTTTCGTTTCTAAAATTCTTCAAAATTGACATATTAGGAAGAGAGATCAGTTGTTATTGATCTGTTTCAAATCTTCAATACGTTGACAACTTTACAAGAAAATTCCCCGCTAAAATGTATAAGGTAAGGTGAAGAAATGTAACTATAGAAATGAAACCTGAAAAATCTTCATTACTGAACATACCATCTTCGAGAGTCATGCTGACGAAAGTATTGCAGTTTTTGAATGAGTGACCATATTTCAAGATCTATAGTCAGCATTATATCGGTGAATACATGAATGCCACAATAGTTTTTACCGTTACCGTAATAATGGTTCATGCGATATTTGTTAAGTAAGTATATCACATCAAGTGAAGTTACTTTGATCTCCAATCAGAATGAAGTCCAATAGAAATGTGCTGTTTTTGAGAAATACGCTTTCTTTGTCTACCCTGAATTCAGTATGAATTTAGCAACTGTATGATCTCAAAAATGTGTTAAAACCGACATTCGATGAGTGAGGTTTCACATTCATGCTTACCGAACCAGAAAATATAAGCGTCGGTATCAATATATACTATTCAAGGCTTGGTTGTAGTTTTGTAAGTGCCAAAAATCTTCACGACGGCTTATCAGTTAACAGAGAGGGGTTCAGTTCATTTCGATTAATCACCGTCTCTCACTTTAATGTTCAAGGAACCTTCCAACTCCATGACCTCGATAATACAATCCTGGTTTTATATTTATGCCGTACCTATACTGACCTCCAGAATGCTGATAAATATTTAGAACCAAGCCAAGCTATCGTTGAAATATACCTACACGCATTCCTATATATAAACACCGCACGTACATAGAGACCGTTGTCTATATTCGCCGGATAATCAACTTCCAATAACAAGTTACAAGAAAAACAGACTTACCACCAGAATGCAACCTCGCCGAATTGGAATAACTTATCGCCTGGTCCCTGCTGGTCATCAAACTGTCCACACTAAAAGCAGCAGCACTATCCATCGCCTGCAACGAAGCAGTCACGTCACTCATCAAATGCTCCTGATGGACGATCACCGACTTCGGATCTCCGTACTTCGCACTCATGCAATGGCTCAACTCGCTACTCGGCTCCCTCTTTGGCTTGCACTCCAACTTCGACTTGATCTCCTCCAAAGACTTCTCATCCCGCTTCGGACTCTCCGATGGTTGCAGCTGCTGCCGCTTCACCTGCTCTTCCTTCTCCCGAAGCGCATCTTTCTTCTTGAACCGCCTGCGCCGCCGCAAGTAGGAACCGTTGTCGAACATGTTGTAAGAGTCAGGGTCTAAGGTCCAGTAGCTACCCTTACCAGGCTTCTTATCGTCCCTGGGCACCTTCACAAAGCACTCGTTCAGGCTCAAGTTGTGCCTGATGGAGTTCTGCCAGCCTTGCTTATTCTCCCGGTAGTAAGGGAACCGTTCCATAATGAACTGGTAAATGCCGTTCAGGGTGATCTTCTTGTCCGAGGCGTTTTGAATGGCCATGGCGATCAGCGCTATGTAGGAATACGGGGGTTTCACCATGTCCTTGGCTGCGGACAAGGGATGTTGTTGGTGGTGCCATGCTGCTGCAGCATACCCGTACCTTGAGTACTGCTCGTAGGCGTAAGGGTTGCCGGCAGCTGTTGAGTACCCGCTGCCGTATCGGTAATTCGCCGTCTGGTGGTCGGTGAAAATGGTGTGCATGACGGTAACGCAAAGCTAACAAACAAACTTCACGCGGTTGGGGGAAAGAGGTTTTCTAAAACGAAAACATCGGTGTTGTTTTAACGGCGCGCTGCTTCCCGATCAATCCTTCGAAAACAACTCGGCGCTCACTTAATATTATGATACACAACATGGGGCAGTTTACACAGAGATTAAGTAAAAACAAGAGTATGTTGCTCCTAGCCGGGACACAATGTTACTAGTGAAAACATAGCGAGCGGACCGTTCAACTCGAGACCGCACCATGACGAGGGCACGCCTCGCTTCGTCCGGGCCAATGGTGTTGGTGGCTCCGCCCGAAATCGATGTGTCAACCATTAAACCGTTGTTTGGTTAACCGTCAAACGGCAAGTGCGCACGCCTCCCGTGGATTTTTTTCGCGTGGAGCAAAAAGTTTGCCTCGCGAAGTCGGATATAACATAAACAAACCCCCTTCGAAAATTTCGAAACTGAGTGTGCCGTAGAAGGGCTTTCCGTTTATTTTCGCGGAAGGAAAATAAGCGCGCGGAGTTTGTGTACCTTGTGGCGAGTTCCGACTGACGGACCTCTAGGATGAAACAATCGGCGGTGGCGGTGCGATAGGCACGGCCAGCTTTGACAGTTTGGTCCGCGGTTTCGAGGGAAATTACTTACCGAGTGTTATCAGCCTGATGGTACTGATTGCGCGTTCCGATTGTTTCCAGATCACAAATCGACGATTCCTTGTATCATGAAGAGAAGAACAAGTTATTGGGAATGATATCCATTGGGGTGAGTTCGAGATACGTACGCGGGTAAAACATTTTGAAAATTATGAGTCGAACTAGATCCACCCTGTAATGTGTAACCATTTTCGGTAAAGCTGCACTTATCATGTGATGGTTTTTTTTTTTTCGAAAAATTTTTTTAGTACTCACGTAGTTTTGTCTGAAAAACACGAATTCCACAATGAAAATGTGAACAAAACACTATCTATTGAGATATTTTACGAAAAAATGCAATATTTCACCATGTTTTGCCATCACCCATCTTGGATATCCATTTACAAATATTTGTCCTTCTTTGCCATCATTGGACACTATATACTAACGTTGTACATCAATAACACATTTTATTTCCTAAAATCAACAAGAAGTATGGTTTATTTGGATTTTTTTCATTCATTCATTCAATTATCAAATCTAAAAACAAATCACAGAATTCAAAATACAAATTGGAGATGTCAAATAACGGTGAAATGTTGAAAAAAATTTGCAAGAAACTCGAGAAACCAAACTATTGTTCACCTCACTAAATATGAAAACATACTCCTTGTTGATTTTAGGAAATAAAATGTGTTATTGAAGTACAACGTGAGTATATAAAGTGTCCAGTGATGGAAAAAGAAGGACAAGTAGTTGAATAATGAATATCCTAGATGGGATGCAAAAGAAGGCACGTTTTCATAAAATATCTCGATAAATAGCGGTTTGTTCACATTTTCATTGTAAAATTCGTATTTTTCAGAAGAAAATACGTGAGTACCAAAAAAATATGAAAAAAAAAACATATATCGCATGATAAGTGCAGTTTTACCTCATTTTGATCATTTTGTAGCTATCCTTCGAATTATATTGACACAAAATGTCAAAAAGTTCGAAGAATGTTATAGTAAATTCCAATAAAAGCTGAGTTCTTGATCAAACTGATTGTGCATATCTATTTCGACGAAAATCTTGCCGCAATGGTTTTTTTTTACCGTGCAGGTAGGTATGTCTATGGGAAAGGACAACAAAGTCACACTTACGTGGGTTCTAGGACATGAAGGAATCAAAGGAAATGAGGCAGCTGATCGCCTTGCAAAAAAAGGTGCAGCATCTGCACTTTTTGGTCCTGAGTCTTTTTGTGGGATAAGCAAATGTCACCTAAAAGAAGAACTCAGGAAATGGGAAGAAATTGAAAAGTCCTCCTACTGGAGAGCAACTCCAGGTCAACGACAAGCGAAAAGGTTCATCAACCATTCGCAGAACCGAGCCAAAGAGCTACTCAGCCTCAGCAAACCAGAGCTATAGCTGATCACAGGCTTTCTCACAGGACACGGCCCTCTGAGCTACCACCTCAAAAAGATGGGCCTGGCGGAGACTGATACTTGCCTCTTTTGTAACAATCCGACCGAAACCGCGGAAAACATACTTTGCTCATGTGAAGTATTAGTCCGCCAAAGGCTGAACCACCTAGAACAGGTCAATCTCACCCCTGCTGAGGTGGAAAATTCAACCGTCAGGAAAATTTTAGGCTACATCAGAAGTCTAGGGTTAGAGGACCAAAACTAGATAAGGGTAATCACAATAGATCTTCTAGGTCGCAGTGATCGAGAGGTCTCCCAGCCTATACGACCCATATACAATCTACAATCTACAATCTAGGTATGTCTATATCCAATCATGGAGCATATCCAGCAAAAAACAAATGCTATACGGTGTAATTGACGTGAAAATAATGGTGGATTTGGAGTTAGCACAATTATTGTGTGGAATAAATAACACTTTTTCTCCTGAGGAACATTCGGAATTCAATATATTCTAACGTCAACTTCTTACACCCCATAAAATAAGAAACATTCTCAACCCTATTACCTATTCCGGAAATACGTCTTTGGGTAAGATTTCGGAATGATTATGTCTCTATCATAGTGAATAATAAGAGATAACTTGAAACATCAAAGAAAAACTGAAGAACATAAAACGTAAAAATCACTGGTATATAGGTAATAGGTAAGTAGGTATACTTACCCTCTTTCTGTCACCAAAATCAATGCTTATAGAGGGCGATTCAGGTATCAAGGTACAAACTGAAAGATAGATCCCATCATTTTGCCATTGTACCAGTATCTCTCCTGACGAAGCTATATTGTGGAAATCTCATTGTTTGTGAACTTTTTACATTTGCTATGAATTTCCATCATGTGACTGCCGAGTCAATTCAAAATTCGTTAGAACAGATTAACTTTTACCGACGTGCGATGGCTCAGCTTTTCCCAATAACAGTAGATTCAGGATGTTTTCACCGGATAATACCTTTCCCGAATGATAAAATCCCTGGATGATCTCGGCACGGACCGTCCATCCAACCATACAATCCTTTCAGATATGGCGGAGCCCAGATGGTTCAGAACAAGAGTGGAGAACAGAAGTGCGTGGGAATGTTTCGTTAAGTCTCTTCGGAGTTAAGCCGCTTACATCCGGAAAACACGTGGCTTAAGTCCGGAAAGTCCCGAAAACCGAATAAGATAACGGCACTGCTGATAATAATCAAGATTATTAACGTTATTCGAATTCGATAATCTTGAAATTTTGACTTTCACCTCGAAATTTCACAACTCTCATATTTAAATTCCGAATCATTGAAGTCAAAATTTTGAGGAAAAAGTATGAATTTCGAGATGAAATTCAAAATTCTGACATAAGAAACCATGTGACATTTTCCTTGTGACATTCTAGCAAATAATAGTAGATTATACCACGAGTCAATAATGATAGCTATTATTCTCGAGGATTTTTTACGAACCGAGCCGCGTTAGCGGCGAGGGAGTAACATTCCGAGAGAATAATAGCCATTATTGCGAGTAGTATACTCTACTTTATTTGCGACTAATATATATACTTGTGGTTTTTGAAGTATAATGCCATATATTAATCCCGCAGGGAATAATGGCGAGGGATTAATAGTCTTTATTCCCTGCGGGATTAATATATGGCATTATACTTCAAAAACCACAAGTATAATATATTAGTCGTGAATAAAGGTCATATAAACATTGTGTCCCAACTTAGTGCGTTTTTGAGATACAGGATGTTGAAATTGATAGTATTATATAATTGTTTTTATTTATAACCCCCTGTATAAGCTTTCATGGTGTCAAAATCCAGTATGGATGGAGGCTGAGAAAGCCCACGAAATTTAAAAATGATTCTGATTGGGGTCATTGAGTAATCTCAATGGAAGTCTTGAAAACACCTATACGCATTAAAGTTTGACGTCAAATCGAATTTTAATTGTTTCCACAAAAACTAAGCTAGATACAAATATCACACAGAGAATGAAAAAGTTGTTATTTCAACAGTTCAATCTAATAAAAATATGAAACTCAGAAAAACCGGTGGTGTACAATGACATTCACCATGCACAGTGAAAAATTTCCAGGTGTAATTTCAACCGAGTGGATTTCAGAAATAACTCCGATTGAATCAACACTTGATTAGCAATTTCATGCCAATATTATTAGGAATTTGATAATACCGTGTACAGTGGTGTCAATTCACACAGTCATAGTGAAAAATTACACGGATGTGGTAATTTAGAGGGGTTCTGAAATATCCATTCGAGAGAAACACCAACAGGATGAAAAGTAATTACTTTCGATAGTGGTATCATCCAAGTTAACGCAAAAAATACACTTATTATATAAAATCATCACCTAGTTACACCCTCACCAATCACAAACAAATCAGAACCGTGTATGAATCATGAGATTTGGGGCATCATCGTCTTGCATTCTCCCATGTGAATAAATAATGTTTACTGATTATGAAATTACCCACTGAAAAACCTGAACTCATTGTAGAATGGATGGACATTGTGTAGGTATATCATCATCCAAGAATTCTGGTATCCAGATTGATAGGTGACAATAAGAACGGATGATTTCGTGAAAATAATGCATTAAATAAATTTTAAGCTGATTCATAAATTATATATGATGATTTTTATATTGCGAAGCGATATAGAGTACTTATATCGAACCAGATTGAACATAAAATTGAATATCAAAGTAGAAATTTTGTGCACAGAAAAATATTTAGTGAATTTCTTGATAGATGGTGACCTAGCGCTCCTTCGACGCACGTTTCTCGACAGCCTACAAATAGTATCAGCTCAGAGATGTTTTGTAAGTCACAATTCTCACTACATTGGATCGTTTTATACACTGAATACTAATGTGAGTATATCAGAGTCGTGTTATTCAACAATCAGATGCATACAAGAAAACACTGCTTCTCAGCGTGATAACACTCGATAAGTGTGTTTTCACAACAGAAGAATATTCGACAAATAATCACATATTATCATAATATCATCATTAAAAGCAAAAACGCAATAGATACAGTGTCAAAATAATCACCAAATGATTGTACAGTCACCACTCTGGTGTTGAATAACACGAATCGATCAAATTAGCTCTAGATACTCTAGTGTAGTTCTTGACTGTTATGTAAGAACGAATGACACCCTACGATGGTGTTAAAAATATCAGAGTTAATTCCCACTCAAATGATCAGGACCTCAGGGGACACCCAAGGGTGTTAGCTGGTGTGAACTGGTGTAATTTTTTTTCACTGTGTGAATATTGATAAATTTACCCACTGTGACGCCACTGGAAATATTATTTCAAATCTAATCGCACTAGAAGAAGCCCCATATTACTATCAACAAAACCACAACGTTTTATTGAAATTGATGAAAAGACAATTGAGAAATGAATAGAAAAAAGATTTTTCATGGAAATATTAATACCCTGTATCTCGAAAACGAAGCGAGTTTGGACACATGCATGTTTAAATGAACCTTATTCACTAAAATATCACAAAGAATCACCCCTTGAATTTTTTCGGTGTCATTTAGATACACTCTGTATAAGCAGTATACCACTAGGATATAGGATATTTAGGTTCAATCTTCTCCTGAAGATTTTTGTTATCTCTTGCAGCGCACGAAAGGAAATTCCTAATCCATTTCACTTAATCATTCATGTTTTAGTAATTTTTCAATATTTTTCAAGTATGTGAACATTTTTTGTATTCCTCCAGAACAGAAGAGTTTTTAAGACCTGTCGTTGTTGATGGGTTTGTCTGACATTCCTCTTCGTTTTTCTCTTACTTTAGTGCTCCTATATGTAGCTAAACACTGATGATGACACTAAAGCTTCGAAACATGTCTCCGTAAGTTTGCTTACAATAAAGTAGGTATAGTTTTGGTGGAGTATACTGTATTTCGCCCTGTAATATATGCCTTCACTTCACTTTTTTATGTTCTGGTTCCCACGAAAAGGGATATCTTGTAATGTTCAGAGAATATCGTGAGAACCAAGGGAAATAAGGTAGGAATTGGTGTTCTTCTTAAATTTCTGGAGGTTATATGCCTCGGGGAACGAGTGGATGAAAGAGTCTTTGGAAAGAGATGTTCTGCAGGTCTCCAAAGTGACCACGAAGGGGTGCGAAGCCTCAACACGGCGGGTTAATCTCACGGGGACTGCCAAGGGAGAAACAATTGTTGATATTTCATAAGAGTATCGTCCATGGAAATCTCTATAAAATAGAGCCAGATTGTGAGCGAGGCATCACCCACGAGACGAATTGTTCTTTTTTTGGACAGAATCCAACAGTTTCAGGGTATGTTTCGGTGATGCACTCCAAATATGGGAACAGTATTCCAGGACAGGTCGGATCTGTGCCTTATAGATCATAAGCAGCTGACTGGAAGTGAAATAGCTCCTGGCCCGAAACAGAAAACCAAGTTTTTGTAATGCACTTTCAGAAAGTAATGTGTGATATCATATACAAGCTGTTTCTTTGAAATCATCATGTATCTAATTAATTCAACAAAAATTGCTCAAACCAACAAAAATAATTCAAACACAAATTATTTGTTGATGCAACAAATCCTTTTCCAAACAGACATGGCGTTCAATTCTCAAAAGTTTCAAGATGGCTGCATCGCTAAAAAACACCCCTATATAGTATGGGAAAAGCAACACGCAATCTCCTACTCGTTGATTGATACACAGAAGAGGAATATGGAGGAAAACAAATATATGCGATGGAAAGAGAAGACGTGTGGCTTCCGCAAAACTGTAATAACAACATCCAGAGGAACATGCATGGACGTAGTGAATGCGGGGACCATAATAACATTTCCTTTATATCCCGAAAAATCAAGAAATGTGATTTGTCCATGTATAAAATATCTAAATATATTGTAAATGGTTGCCCAAATTTCAAAAATGATGGTTCTACAGTCTATCTGAATTTCCAAAAAAATCAGGAGATGGTACTTATATGTTTGATAGTTCTTAGTCAATGATGGTTTAGGTACCTCATTTTCGTGTCTTCTTGAAATGGTCGAATACTGTTTATTAGATATATGGATGTACAAACTGAGAATGAGGCAAATTATTTCTGCGAAGAAAACGTTCCTTATGATGGTATGTATGTACCTCCGCATGACGATATATCTTGTCAGTTATCGATGAATGACAAATATTGTTACTTTTTTCAAACAATATATGCCTCGGGGAACACCTCCCTTGGCAATGTGTTCCAGAGTCTCACTGTTCGTTGGATGAACGAGTCTTTGAAAAGAGATGTTCTGCAGATCTCCAAAGTGACCACGAAGGGGTGCGAAGCTTCAACTCGACGGGTAAATCTCGCGGGGACTGCCAAGAGAGGAACAATTTTTGATATTTCAGAAGAGCATCGTCCATGAGAATATCTATAAAATAGAGCCAGATCGTCAACTTTTCTACGGTGTTCCAGAGTAATGAGTGAGTTTGTGAGCGAGGCTCACCCATGAGACGAATTGCACTTTTTTTGGACAGAACCCAACAGTTTCAGGGTATTTTTGGGTGTTGCACTCCAAATATATATATGGGGACAGTATTCCAGGACAGGTCGGATCTGTGCCTTATAGATCATAAGTAGCTGACTGGTAGTGAAATAGCTCCTGGCTCGAAATAGAAAACCAAATTTTTGGGATGCACTTTTTGCAATTGATTTCACGTGATTTTCCCAAGAAAGGTTATTTCTGAGTAATAAGCATCGAAATGGATGTCTTCAAAGGTATGGTTACTCCTGACAAGGTTATGTTGGGCACAGTGAGATCGGCTTTCCTATAGAGAAAAGGCATGCTTGTTGTTTGTTTGCATTGAAATCTAGTTAGAAGTTATTGGATCCCTATTCGAGAATTATTGTCAAGTTCACATTTATGTTGTCAACATTTTTTCCTCGTTCGTTTCTGATTTGCCTGGCTGGTATTGGAGCCCTGGAAGAGAAGGCGGTATGGAGGGCACTATCATCCGCGAAGCTGTACTGGACATGAAGTTGCTTCCAACAAATCGATGATATGGAGTAGAAATAGTGTTGGTGCTAGAATTGATCCTTGCGGAACACCAGCATTTATGATAAGAGAGTCAGATGAAACTACGTCGACGACCACTACATGGAGAGACCTGTTTGAGAGAAAACTAGCTAGCAGAGAACATAGCTGGGGAGGCAAGCCATAAGATGGAAGTTTGACGAGGAGTCCGTGGTGCCAGACTCGATCGAATGCCTTGGAGATATCAAGTGCCACGGCTAAGGTTTCACCATATTTTTCAATAGATTGCTGCCATATATGTGAGACGTAAGCGAGCAGGTCACCAGTTGATCTCTAATGACGGAAGCCATATGGCCTATCGTTGATAATACCTGAATGTTCCAGGTATTTCATGAGTTCGATGTTGATAGCTTTCTCCATGATCTTTGAAATAATAAATAGCAGTGCGATCGGTCTGTAGTTGCTAGGTAGGGTCTTTTTGCCTTTTTTAGGAACTGGTTGTACTCTTGCAATTTTTCAGTTGGACGGGAATATCCCCAATTCGTAAGAGTAGTTGAACAACTTGCAGAGAACAGGTGTTAGTTCGGGAGCACATTTCTTGAGAACAATCGGTGGGATTCCGTCGGAGCCACATGCAACCTTTGTTGGTGTTGAGACCTCTGAGTGGAGGTATTACTTGTATAACTTTGTCTTACTGTAAAAATTAGAAATCATCGATAGCTTCGTCATTTTTGAATTTAGGATAAAAGAAAAAGTTCATAAGACAGTACTAGTTCAGATTCGAATTTCCTATCGATTGAGGATATTGTATACTGATTTCATTGGTTAGTGTTAGCGACTAGCAACTAGATGCGCTACTGCTCAGTGGAATGTGCTTAGATCAGAGCCTATGACAGACATGTGTGAAGA